ACCAAATTCACAGCCTCTTTTTTTCCGGTCTTCCCGGTCTACCAAGGACCCGGCCCGCCGCGACCGGGTAGTCTGGGTCCTCCGGAGGACCCGGCCTGTCGTTTTGGACACAGCCGATGTGTTAGTTTTTCAATATCATTAGCATCTCAAGATTTGTTTAGTTTACACATCCGTAATGCACACCCGCCTTCAGAATTTTGTGAAGACAAGCGACCTGAGAGCGTGATTCGCAACGCTGCGGTCGCTATCGCGTCCCGTGTGTCGGGTTTCACCCTGGCTGCGATGACAGCCGTTAATCGCTGTGGTTTGTCACTCCCCGTGTGTCGAGCCCTTTATGCAGTCACTTATTTTACATGACATATTTTTATTTATTTGGCAGCACGGTGGCTCAGTTGTATAGTGCTGATGCCTCTCAGCAAGAAGGTCGCTGGTTCAAATCCTGGCCCGGGGACATTTCTGGGTAGAGTTTGCATGTTCTCTCTGGGTACTCCTGCTTCCTCCCACAGACCAAAAACATGACTGTTAGGTTAATTGATAACTCTAAATTGTCCCTAGGTGTGAGTGAGAGAGTGAATGTTTGTTTGTCTCGTTGTGTGTTCCTGTGATGGACTGGAGACCTGTCCAGGGTGTAGTCCACCCCTCGCACTGTGACCCACGCGACCCTGACAGGAATAAGCGTGTACAGAAAATGGATGGATGGATGGATATTTTTATTTACCTGTAAGTAAACTTTATTTATATTGCACCTTTTACTGGTCAGAAACCACAAAGTGCTTTACAAAATATAAAAAAATAAAAAAACAGAAGATAAAACAGAAGTAGAGAAAAACAGGATACATGATGTGACATAAGAAAATAAAACTAATTAAAAGCCAATCTGAACAAATGTGAGTGTGTTTAATGTGTTTGTTACTTTTTTATATTCTTATACAATTTTTTTATTGTTTTATTGTATTTTAGTACAATGTTAGTACATATAAAAACCACAGCTATCCATCAGTACCCAGGTGCACTGCATTCATTTGTTTTGGTTTATTATTTTGCACTGAATCTGAATGTATTGAATCCAGTGTTGTATAGAGGACCTCAATGTGACACTTAAGTAAAAGTACAAGTATCTTACCATAAAATATGAGTAAAAAAAGTCTAAACTTATCTGAAATTTACTGTACTTTAGCATTAAAAAGTAAATTTCTGACAAAAAAATAAGCATTAAAAGGAAAAGTATTGAGTAAACATTAGAATTTCAAAAATAATATTTAATGGTAGGTGACCTCCCAAAAAAGAAAACCTTTTTTCTAACGGTCATAGTGACTGTTATTTTATATTACAATGTTAATGCTGAAAATTTTAGGATGCACTGACTAGTCTACCTGTTTCAGCTGCGTACCCACAGTTTAGGGCTGCACAAAAGCAGGAAACCCTGCCATGTGTAATAACAGTACTTAATATTGTCTTGACTGTATGACTTGCAATAAATGAACAAATACTGAAGTCTGCAGTGTTGACATGTTTCTGCTCTGGGTTCAGAGAAAAAAACTGATCATTTTCATTTTAACATGACAGTTTTATTTTTAAAAAGTACTGGACACAGCTGCTGCATTGGCAATGAAATAACAAGCTGTATGCAATGCAGTTTCTTAATTACTTTAAAACATCACCCCCTATACATTTCCTGATGCTCTTAACTACTGAAAAACGCCCTTATCATTTTTTAAATAAAGATGCTAGTCATAAAATTAGATTATCATGAAAAAAGTAATTCATTTCAGTAATTCCATTCAAAAAGTGAAACTTGTATATTATATTCATTCATTCCACACAGACTAATATATTTGAAATGTTTATTTCTTTTAATTTTGATGATTATAACTGAGCAGTGTGGTTATCCTGACTGGGCTTTCCTGAAAGCAGACAGGAAACACAGACAGGATTCCATGCAACCTTCAGGTGAAAATGAAGACCCCCAAACCCAGACCCAA